TGCATTACCCATAATAAGGAATATAGGGTTTAGGGTTTAGGGTCTAGGGTTGATGATAAAAAGCCTGCGTTTCCCATAAGAAAAAATATACCGGAATTCCCATAGTTCAGTGTCCTCAAGGTAATGCAGGATTTCTATCATCAACAGTAGTACACAACAACCCAGAACCACTACTCCCCCCCTGCACCGGTCCACTTGACCCCATCAATGGGAGCTTACACAGCCCGCAGAAAGTTCTTCAACAACCCTAAACCCTAAACCCTAAACTCTATACCCTAATAGCGTTGAGGTTTTGCTAGTTTTTTTGGGGGTTTAGGGCTTGTGGATTATGCGGTAGTGGCATTGCGGGGTCTATTTTACGATGGTCATACAGGGCCAGGTGCTTGAGAAATGATATTCGCAGTGTGTTAGGCTGCGATACCTTTGGTCTCAGTGTAAGATGAGCAGAGGTGTGGAACAAGTCCTTCTATCCACGGCTGTAGCTCCGTGCCAAGATATTCAGCCTTGTGCAGAAACACCCGAGGTGGAAACGAGATTAGGTGTTGAGTTGAGATTAGGTGTTGAGTTGAGGGTTTTGCGCATCGCCATGCAGTGGTAGTATGTACGTCAAACCGCGTTTGAAGTTTGGAGGTCCCTCCAGGTATACAATTCCGAGTCCGCGACGGTTCAATTTTTCATCATCTAGTAACCTGTAGGATATTTAGAAGCTATCAGCTTTGAAGCCAGCGCGAATTTAGCTTACGGCATGGCGTTTTCGCACTTTTCTCCCTACCTTAAGGCCGCGAAAAGGCATGGTTTATTTCTTGAGTCATGTCTCTTTTCGCCCTTGTAAGCTGCTGTGTCGTGTAGACTACTCCGAAGCCCTGTTCAAACTATTACGGCGCCTGAAGGAACTTCCGGTTGCTGAGGAAGGAGGCCACGCTGCAGCTGTCGCACAGCTGGAAAGGCTCGGGCGGGTTTAGCGTTGTTTAGGGTTTAGGGTTTAGGGTTTAAGTGCACCTTGTCGAAAACTGTCGCTGCCATAGCACCAACAACATGCTTTCATGAATGCACGCGCGAATGGAATGTATGTAACAATGTATGTATGTGCACGTACATTTATGTATATCTATGTATGTGTATATATACGTATGTAACGTATGTATATGTATACGTGTGAGAGAGTGTGTGTATGTTTATGTCCCTGTGTGTGTATGTATGTGTATGTATGCAAGAAAAGTCTTATATTATGCCCTTCTAGACTTCGATCAGGGCTTGCCGAGGGACTCAAACCCTAAACCCTAAACCTTAAACCCTAAACCCTAAACCCTGAACCCTGAACCCTGAACCCTGAACCCTGAACCCCAAACCCTGAACCCTAAACCCTAAACCCTGCGGCCTGTAGGGTCTTCCAGCAGACAGGGTCTTGTTGCCCCGATGCTGTCAGGTGCGTGGAAACGTACCACTGGCAGCTGCTTGGACACGCTAGGGTTGAGGGTTTAGGGTTTTCGGGGTTTAGGGTTCAGGGTATAAAGGGGCCTTAATAATTACCTATATTATTTTGAGGGTTCCTTGTTACAACTATACTATAAAGGACCCCCCAAACCGCATTCTAATTATCAAGGCCCCTACATTATAGAGGCCTCAATAATTAGAACAGGATCTTGGGGGATGTTTTTCCATAGCTGTATTAAGGAAGCCTGTTGAACTTTAGTGGTGAAAGCTCCTATACAAGCCTGAACCCAACACCGCGAACCCTGAAAACTGAACCCCTGAACCCTAAACCCTAAACCCTAAACCCTAAACCCTAGTGCTGAGGGTGTCGGATGTTGCTACAGGTGCCCGACCCCGAATCTCTCAGGGTTTTGGGCTTAGGGTTAGTTTACGGGCGGGCCCTTCTGAGCCCTAACCCTAAATCCTAAAAGCTATTGCTGATGATCTAAAGCCTGCATTATTTCAAGGACCCGAAACTATGGGAAATATGATATCTTCTTTATCATGGGTAATGCAGGATTGATATCATGAACCGTAGTATATATATAATATATATCTATATCTATATCTATATCTATATCTATAAACCCAAAACCCAAAACCCTAAACCCTAAACCCTAAACCCTAAACCCTAAACCTCAAAGCCTAAACTACGGGAATTATGGCATATTCCTGATTATAGGTAGGAAAAGATTTGGGAGTTTCCGAAAATAGGGGACCCCAAAATAATAAGGTACCCTAATTTCCGGAAACTCCCATGTGAGAATCTCGGACCCTGATCTCCCCCAAGGGCAAGGGCCGTTCGCATGCCTTGCGCACACTGAGGTGGCGGGTGTGCTTCAGGCGCACCGGCAGGGGTTTAGGGCTTAGGGTTCAGGGTTCAGGGTTCAGGGTTCAGGGTTTAGGGTTTAGGGTTCAGGGTTTAGGGTTTGGGGGCCGCAGAGTTGTGGGGTTGAGAGTTGAAAGTGATGTAGAGGTCTGATCAGCGATTAACCTGCTTGAGCAGCATCGTTGGGCATGGGCACGATTCAAGTCATGTGAAGTCCAGAGATAGTACTACCCATAAGATTCCTAAATTCTGCGCAAAGCCTCTAGAGGCTTGGGCAAGTCGGCCAGGTGTATGGCAGCTATGCTGATCCTCCTCCATCTGCTGTACATGATAGCCGCCGATCTAAGTCTGGACGCGAAGGCATTTCCAGTGCTGCCGGACTCAAACTGAGAAACCTTAATTCTAAGTCCTAGCCGCTGAAGTCTGTCGGCAGATCCCGAAACTCTACGCCCCAAGATGAAAATCCTTATATAGCCTCTGAAAATCTCATAAGCCTGGAGTAAACCCTGTAGCACACCAAGGCACCAGACTGCCCATCAAAAGCCCATGAAAGTCGAAACCCCAAACCCTAAACCCTAAACCCTAAGCCCCTAAACCCTAAACCCTAAACCCTAAATCCCAAACCCTACAGTGCATAAAACCCGTTTTAATCCGCAAAGCAATTCAGACCGAGCCTTCAGGGTTTCAGGTGTCGGGCTTGGGGATTAAGGTTTGGGGTGCAGGGATAAAAAGGGTTTAGGGACTGCTACGGTTTTGGGATTAGGGTTTTGGGTTTTTGATTTCGGGTTCCCCAGGTTTAGGGACCACGGTTTGGGGATCAGGGTTTTGGGTTTTTGATTTCGGGCTTGGGGAAAAGGAATGTCCCTTAAATCAGAGTTGGAACCCTTAACAAGGTAGCCTGAATTAAAGGACAGTGCCCGGAGCTTTGAGTTCCCAACTCCAGCCGTACTACAACCGCTGCCGGAATCCAGGACACAGATCGGTTTGGGTTTTAGGGTGTTGGGGCTTAGGTTTAGGCCGGCCCTAAGCCCTAAACCCTAAACCCTAAACCCTAAACCCTAAGCCCTAAGCCCTAAACCCTAAACGATAAACCCTAAACCCTAAACCCTAAACCCTAAACCCTAAACCCTAAACCCTAAACCGCTGGACCCTAAACCCCTGAACCCTAAACCCTAAACCCTGAGCCGAGGTTGTCTCTGTGCCTGGCACCCTTCGCAGTGAATCCACTGGCCTTGGCACCAGCATCCTCACCGGTGAGGCAGGGTTTATGGTTTAGGGTTTAGGTTTAGGGTTTAGGGTTTAGGGTTTAGGGTTGAGGGTTGAGGCTAGGGTTCAGGGTTTAGGGTTTAAGGTTTAGGGCTTTCGGGCAGCGGCTTAAGGCCAAGCCCTAGACGGGCCGAAGCCCTAATTCCTGGGCACAGGGGCGATCTGTCATATCCGAGTGTCTAAACCATAAACCCCTTAACCCCAAACCCTAAACCCTAAACCCTACGCCTTAAGCCCAAGGCCCTAAGCCCTAATATAAGTATCTTGGCCAGCTGAGATGCAGACACCTGAACAGTTTAAAATCATTTGGGCAAACATGTGGGCTCCTCGGTATCAAAACGCTATACTGAATCCCAGTAGCCTATTCTTGTTATTCAGGCCCCTATCAAACCAGAGGGGTATTTACATAGCTGTACTAGGGACGGCCCCTATGCCTCGAACACAGTGTGGGCTCCTGACTCTTGACAGCATGCCCACATTGCACGAGCTAAACCCTTTTCTAGACCTTTGACGAAGTCCCGAAATTAAGTTGGAATCTTGCGGATTGTGACAATTCCGATACGTTGCGCTCAGGTTTCCTGACACACCCTCAACCCTGAACCCTAAACTCGACGGGCACTAAACCCTGAACCCTAAACAAAGTTACCTTCTGAAGCCATTTCAAGCCTCGCAAGCTCTTGTCACTGCCGATTTCGGGCTTGGATTCCGGATTTAGGGTTGCGGTCCTGTCCAACCGTAAGCCTGAAACTCGAAATGGTCTTTGCCGAAGGTTCCTTCCGGCAGAGGGCGCCCTCTGCTGCACCCTGGCCTTATTCTTCGGTAGCCGTGACTGAACCGCATTTGGGAGTTAATAGAGAAGCCTCCACGCTGCATAAGTTAGTTACCAACATCATTCCTTGATTATAAAGGCACCGAAATCATGAACCCTACGAAGACCCGCAAAACCCCTTATGAAGCCCCTTCAAAGTAGAACACTGAAAGGCACCCTATTCTATTTATGAAGGCCCCGAAGGCACGAACCCGATAACAGCCCTTAAACCCTTTTTGAAGCTCCTAAACCCTAAACCCTAAACCCTAAACCCTAAACCCTCATAGTGTACGAAGTCTTAACACACCGGAATCACCAGCCCTGTTGAACTCATCCTTCGGGTTCTATTAGGGTTTAGGGTTTAGGGTTTAGGGTTTAGTTTAGGGTTTAGGGTTTAAGGTTTAGGGAGAACCATACGGACTACCCTCTATTAACGCGTTTTGTAGCAAACATTTTAAAGCAATCGTAGTCTCATGTTGCATCCCTCTATCAACGCATTATCGTACACCTTCAAAGGGACGCTATGCTAAATATTCTATCAATCCGTTATAGCAACCCATTATAGGGTTTAGGGTTTAGGGTTTACCCCTCACAGGAACCGAGTGCTAACTGTTAAGGCCCCTCTGCTAGGTGTCCCGCCGCTGCTTGCTTTTGCAGTTTCCGCCGCTCATGTCGGCCCCAACCTCAGAAGGTCAGTCTTGGGTTCAGGGTTCAGGGTCTAGGGGTGAGGATTTAGGAGGTTTCGGGTTTAGGGTTGGGGGTTTAGGGTTTAGGGTTAGGGTTCAGGGTTTAGGGTTTAGGGTTTAGGGTTTCGGGTTTAGGGTTGGGGGTTTTTCATGCCCCTGATAGAATTCGAGCAGGGCTTTGGAGTATACGTCTAGAAGGACGAGCACAAGGGGCGTTGCGGCCGTTCCTACCAGTGACTCGTGCTTCTATATTGAACTAACATGGCACCTCACGGGGTTGCATATTGGACTACAGTCTCTTCAAGACTTCAGTGAAGTAAGGGACTAAAGGAGGGACCCTTAAAGGGACCCTTGGGGTTATATAGGGGCTTTATGAGACTATAAAAGCGGTATATAAGGGTTATGTAGGCTATTTGGATTAGGGGTCCCTTTTTAGGGGCCCCTTCTATTGTCCCTTCAAGACTGTGGCTATTTGGGTTCCGTGTGTGTTTCGGGGTTCTTGGGTTCGGAATTAGGGCTTATAGAAGGAGCCCTCCAAAACCCTGGACCCTAAACACCAGGAGACCCAATTTTGTGGGGTTTTGGGGTGTAATGTGTAGGGCTTACGGGGTTTGTAGGGTTTAGGGTTTACAGGGTTTAGGGTTTCGGGTTTACGGGGCTTCGGGCATGATCCGAAACCCTCAGCCGAAATAATTAGGCTAATTAGGCCGAACCTTCAACCCCCAAACCTGGCAAGACCAAGCTTACCTCTTTTTCCCACGAAAGAACTCGAGATTTAGGCCATGTTACGCTTTGATCCCTGAACCCTAAATCAATCCAAAACCCTAAACCCTAAAGCCTAAACCCCGCCCTAATTCCCCAAAAAACCAAAAACACGAACTCCCAAACCCCAATCTCAAGCCCTAAACCGAACTCTCACCAACACAGGGCGCTAAATAGTTTCTGTCCGAAACGGATATGAAAATGGAATCTGTACTAATAGGGCTTAGGGTTCAGGGTTTTGGCATGGGCGATCTTGGGGTGATGCCTTCGAACTGCTGCACACCCACTATGTGCACTGTCGCGCGGCCCGCCCTTCGACACCACACCCTGAACCCTAAATCCTTAAACCGTTACACCCTTAACTGCCCCTAAATCCAAAACCCTACTTGGAGGCCCAGGGTACTTAGTAAGTAGGCTATAAGTACCCTTGCTGGAGTTACCCCAATTATAACTTATAACCGACTTACTAAGTCCCCTGGGCCTCCAAGTAACCCGAAAGCCTGAACTATCGAAGGACTTTGGCTCTGGGCTGCTAGCTCTGACGCGCAGCCGCTTGCGTTGCTCCTTGGGCTTGGGCTTGATGACCCGTAATGTAGGGGCCTTAACAATTAGAATAGGGTTTGGGGTATAGTATACTGTAAATATAATAAGGAACCCCCAAAACCCTATTCGAATTACTAAGGTCCCTACAATATGATTTTTGAGTCATATAGGGCGTAGGGTTTAGGGTCTAGGACAAAAGGGTTCAGGGTTTCGGGTCTAGGATTTAGAGTGTTTTAATTTGGTATTTGGGCGTTTTGCGTTCAAGCATCGGTTTCGGGCTTAAAGTTATGACGTCCAGGTTATGCACACGGATGCATATCCGAGAACACCTATGGGGTAGTTTAGGTTCAAGGTTGGGGGAGAGCAAGCCTTTGCCCAGAACACACAATCCTAAACCCTAAACCCTAAAGCCTAAACCCTAAACCCTAAGCCCCTAAACCCTAAACCCTAAACCCTTAAACCCCTAAACCCTAAACCCTAAAGTTTCTAAAGCCTAAACCTCAATAGTCAATAGGTCCGAAACCCATGGCCAGCACAAGCTATAAGCCTCACACCCTGCGACCAGAAGCCGCAATAAAATGGGTTTTAGGGTTTAGGGTTTAGGGTTTAGGGGTTTAGGGTTTAGGGTTTAGGGTTACGACAATTTCAGCATTTAGGGCTTGGGACGCTGGAACAGGATTTGCACTTAGGCCGGGAGTCTGCAAACACACTGTGTGAAGGCATGCAGGTCATTCTTAACCACTGGAGACTCCAAAAACGTCTAATTCCGGAATGTACTCACATTTCGGCTCCTGTCCTACCTTAAGGGATATTCCTCAAGTAAGGGGTGTTGGAGCGTCGGGCACCTGTCGGTTGCCTGGTGTCCACTCTATGATCCTTACTTGGAGGGTCGGGGGACTTCGTAGGTGGGTAATAAGTAGACTTTTAAGTACCTTTAAAGGGATCCTAATTGGGGTTATGATACTTATAACTCTATAAAATAACTACTTACTAAGTCCCCCGACCCTCCAAGTAAACCCTAAACGCCCCGTGGCCTAGGCTTCCGCCGTCTCTCATGGCGCCCTGCCTTTGGATGCTGGCCTGGTATGTAGGCGGGTTGGCTATCTTAAAGGGCTTAGGGGCTTAGGTGTTTTGAGGGCTCAGGGTTAGGGGCTTAGGTGCTTTTGGCTTTAGGGTTTAGGGGCTCAGGTGGTTTTGCGCAATCGTCAATCGTCGCGTCGCACTTTTGGCTGCGTCCAGGTTTGGGGTCCTAATTGGGCTTGCTTTGAGTGATCCCGGACTTTGCAATGAAGGGCAACCTGCACTTGCAATATGGCGCCCTATAAACAGGCCCCAAAACCACATAGAGGCCGATCGCGGCCTTCTCAGGCCCCAGTAAGCTGCTATACTAAAGAATAGATCATCCTTAGTGTGCCTTAGACAGTTTAGGGTTTAGGGTTTGAAGGTTTAGGGCTTTGCTCCTCAATCTAAGTATACTCCCCCCCCATCAAGATTACTAAGGATTCTAGTAGGCCTGCATAGCAAGCCTTACAATGACTCTTATAGAACCCTTCAAAGAAGCCTTAGTCTACATATCAAGGCTTCCATCTATGTTTCATCCTAAACCCTTCCCTTAAACCACCAAACCCTAAACCCTAAACCCTAAACCCTAAACCCTAAACCCTAAACCCTAAACCCTAAACCCTAAACCCTAAACCCCTTAAAGCCCCAAGCCCTTCTGTCAGGACAGTCCCTGAAACTGGGGGAGCTGGGTCTCCGGGACCTGCGCAGTTTGGCGGAGCCCGACAAAGCGAAGGGCAGCTAAAAAGTTCGGAAAAGGGGTTTAGGGTTTAGGATTTAGGGTTTAGGGTTTAGGGTTTTAGGGTTTAGGGTTTAGGGTTTAGGGTTTCGGAAAGTGCTCCTTTATAAAGGATTCCTTAGAGGGTTCCAAAAGGGGCTACCTATAACAACGGTTTAGTGTGTTTTTGAGCCTTTGAAGTGCACTCTATGAGATGGCGTCTTGATTTTTCTGCTTGGAGGCCCAAGGGACTTAGCAAGTAGGTTATAAGTAGAGTTATAAGTGCCCTAACTGGAGTTACCCCAACTATAACCCTACTTATAACCCCCTAAACCCTAAACCCTAAACCCTACTTAGAACCGACTTACTAAGTCCCCCTGGGCCTCCAAGTGGTGGGGCTCTCTCAAGGACTTCTTGAGTTTTTTGGGTCCTCTCATCTTCCCAGGTCTTTATGAGGTGTAGGGGTGTAGGGGTTTAGGATTTAGGGGTTTAGGGTTTAGGGGTTTAGGGTTTAGGGGTTTAGGGTTTAGGGTTTAGTAAGCTTCAACACTTAGGATTCAGTTCGATGCAAACGGGCGTGTCTCTTTGGCACGTGGAAACAGGAGGTTGCCAAACATAAACACCTCAGACGATGCCACATACAATGAGGCCCCGTTCAGATCTCGAGCGACGCCCACGTATCGTTGGCAAGGTTCGGCCGCACAGTTTAGGGTTTAGGGTGTTTGATGAGAGCTTGCTGACTACAGCCTTCGACGTGTAGCGTGTTTATTGCCAGCAGCAGGGGCTGCAGCAGTTGCGGCAGGCTAATGTCAGAGATGCTCCTCAAGTATCTATGGTGCAAGCCCCATTCCATAAATACTCTACATAGAGCCGAAGCACCGGCAGACTCAACGAGATCGTATCACTGTCAGAAGCGGAAGAGGTCTTCTCTGCCTACGGATGCTGACGCGCGCAAGAAGCCGAACGCCATCTGCAAACTGTCAACTATCCCAAAAGTTATGCATGCCATCTCGATCCCACAAACCACACTAAGCAGCTAGTCCCGTACCAATTTTAAGGCTCAAGGGCTGAAGCGCAAAGCTGAGAAACCTAAAGCACATCAAAGCACTCTCAAAACCCCAAACCCCCAAACCGAAAACCAACCCCACAAAGCCCTTCCCATCATGGGCTTGGAGTGTGTGCCAGCGAACACTCCTCAACAGCAAGGCCTTCTCGCCCTACAAAGTTCCTAAACCCTGAACCGTGCACCAGACTTAACAATCAACCAAAACCACCCCAAGACTCACGTAATGCATAGTTTTTTTTTGGGGGGTCCATTTTATATCTACAATATACCATACACCAAACCCCATTCTAATTATTAAAGGGTTTAGGGTTTAGGGTTTAAGGTTAATACTAAGGCCCCTGTATTAAGTCTTGAAGCCCGAAGCCCTAAACCCTAAAACCCTAAAGCCCTAAACCCTAAAGCCTAAACCCTAAAGCCCTACACCCCAAACCCTAAAGCCCTAACCTCTACGCAAACCGGGCCTAAAGCGTCAAACCAGAAAGCCCTCTAGTCCTACGCCTACCCGCTCCAATGAGGTTTAGGGTTTAGGGTTTTCGGGTTCAGGGTTTGAGGGTTTTAGGGCTTTAGGGTTTTAGGGTTTAGGGTTTAGGGTTTGGGGTTTAGGGTTTAGGGTTTTCGGGTTTAGGGCTTTAGTTTAGGGTTTTAGGGTTTAGGGTTTCAGGGTTTCAGGTTTAGGGGCCTTAATAATTAGAATAGGGGTTTGGGGTTATCATACCATAATTATAATGAGGAACCCCCCCCCCCCAAATAGTATAGGTAATTACTAAGGACCCTATATTAAGCCCAATGCTTAAACTCTTAACTCAAACCCTAAACTACTACTGTAACTAAACCCTATTATATATAAACTCCGAGACCTACCTTAAAATCCTAAACCCTTTTACTGTAGGCTTAAACCCTAACTTAAATTTCGAAACCTACCTTAAAATCCTAAACCCTAAACCACTAAACCCGAAGTCCCAACCCCCAAACCCTGTAATCCCTAATCCCTAAACCCTATAACCCCTAATCCCTAAATACCCTAAATACCCTAAACCGTTAAACACTGAGTCCTAACCCCTAAACCCTATAATCCCCAATCCCTAAACGCCCTGAACCTACCGCAGAAAAGGGCCTTCTCCTCAGTGACCACCCTGGGCGTGGGCTCGGGGAGTGCCGGCCGGTGCCTGAAATCAGGAATGAAATCAAGGGTTTAGGATTTAGGGTTTAGGGTTTAGGGGGCCTTAATAGTTAGAATAGGGTTGTGGGGGGAGGGGGGTCTCTTATACTATAACTATAATAAGGAGCCCCCAAAATAGTATTGGTAATCATTTTGGCCGTTGAATTAGTGAGTTTGGGGTTTAGGGCTTCAAGTGTTTAAGGCTTTCGGAGCTTCGGGTTTAGGAATTTAAGGTTTACACTCTCGGAGCTCGGACAAGCCAAGCGAGGTGGGGGTTTATGGCTAAGGCGTTGGGTTTGGGATTGCAGGGCGTCAGGGGTTGAGGGTTCTTTAGGGGTTCCAGTGATAGGCCTGTCGAGGGTTTCTTCAACTGCTTGTTAGGGGCAGACACTGCTTTGCGCGTAGGCCTGTCGAGGGTTTCTTCAACTGCTTGTTAGGGGCAGACACTGCTTTGCGCGCTTTTGCTGGCGGCAGTTGTGGAGTAGGGCGAGTCCCTGGACCCTATAAACCCCCCAAAACCCTCGACAGTGAATCAAGCCTAGCCTTCGGTTTAGGGCTTAAGGCTCATGGGACTGGGTTGGGCTTGGGACGTCTCAGGGCTCTCTGAGCTTTCGCGCGCTTACGGCTTTCTTACACGTTTGTTTGTGCATGTGCGGTGCTGTTTTGCGTCGCGTGAGGCTTTGGGTTGCCGGGTTCATTTATTGAAGGGTGAACGGCTTAGGGCTTCAGGGCATGCTGATTGACAGGTTTAGGTAGGCTTTTGGGGGACAAAGGTAGGAAGATGTGGCTTGCATTGCCTGAATTTCATCTGTGCTGGGACAGAAGTGCTCGACTCTTGGCAACAAGCACTGGGACCTCAACAACCTACCTTGTTAGGGTTCCTTGTTCTTATTGAAACCATAAAAAAGGTAGGTTATTTGGGGTTATATAAGGTAAGGCTCAAGATTTCTAATTCTCTTACTGATCCAGTCCTAGAAAAACTCGAGGCTAACCTTTGGTACCCAAGAAGGTGAAAGATTAACTCCACTACTAGCACTGGGTTCTTGAAGCCTGAAATCTGAACCCAAGGCTCGGGCTATGCGACTTGTTGCTGATTTGGTGATCTGTTTACCGAGGCCAGGCTTTCTTTTAGGGCTTACCTTAAACTTAAACTACCGAAATCTACTTGCTGTAGGGGACATTATAACTTTTGTTGCGGCTTATCGTCAGAACCTGGAAAACAGGCTTATGTAGTTCATGGTAAGGTTTAGGGGTACTCTAGCCTTGTAACCCCAAAACCTACATCCCCCAAAACCCAAAACCCTAACCCTATACCCTAAACCAACACCTGGAAACCCACAGCCCAACATCTGACTCAACTGGTGAAGCACGCTGCAAGTGCCGCGTGCCCGCATAGCGGCTCCTAGAACGCGGGGGTCCCGGACTCTGGACTATAGAGGCCTTAGTAATTAAAATAGGGTGTTGGGGTATATTATACTATGACTACAAGAAGGAACTGCCAAAAGGGCAGTGGCATTTGTTCAAGCCCCTATAAAAGGGTTTTCAGATTGTTGCGGCACTTTCTGAAGCACCTCACCCCTCGCCAGGGCTCGACACTAAAGGCTGGGCCTAAATGGCCTGGATGCGCACAAAGAAACTCTGGCAGATCCGTATAGTCATACCTTAAGCTACCGAAACCTACTTTTTGTAGGGTCCTTACAAATTCTCGACCAGGTTTTCAGAATAAGAACCTACAAGAAGTAGGTCATGGTAGTTTGAGATCCATATATTCATATAGTGTACCTGTAGCCAAAAAACCTACATATTAGGGTTTCTTCTTATGGTGTCTATATATAGTAGGCCGCCACAGTAGCCATATTGGGCCACAGGTAGCCCTGCAGGACTTACGACATCAACAGCTAGGAATCGGGCTTTCAAGCCGGGTGAGAGCTACGGCTGATAATATAAATCCTGCATTACCCATATTAAGGACTATACCATAATTCCCGTAGTTTAGAGTTTAGGGTCTAGGGTAATGAGGAAAATACCACAATTCCGGTAGTTTAGGGTCCTGAAGGTAATGCAGGGTTTATATCATGAAAAGTATTGCAGCCAGGAAGCAGATATCCGTAGTAGGCCGCAGCACCCACTGCGGCAAGGACCACAGCGAGGAGTACTTGAAGGATCCTCGAGCAAGAGAGGTGGCGACTGCTAAATAAAGGGGCCTCAATAACTACCTAATTATGTTGGGGGTTTCTGACTATAATCATACTGTAAAGGACCCAAGACCCTATTCTAATTACTAAGGCCCCTACATTAGGGTGCAAGTCTAAGGTCTAGGTGTGGAGGGTTTGGGGGCTTGGTGCTCTTCTAGGAAGGGTTTAGGGTTTCGGGTTTAGGGTTCTTCTAGGACAATGTCACCCTGTCTTCGATGTTAAGGTCTCATTATTGGCCATGTGCTTGCGTCTTCCTCTGGCGCTTATACGACCCTCAAAATATTACCGGTACTGTAGGTGCTGGGATGCGAGGTCGAAACCCTCAACACTGCACCGAAAATCCCATTGAAACAAACCCATCTCCGCAACCCGAAACCTGAAGCCTAGAACCTTGACCCTGTACCTGAAGGCTTAACAACTAGGTCACCAGGTGGTGGTGGTGGGTGGGGCTTCAGACTTCGTATTTGGCCTCGGAACCCACACAATAACAAGCAACATCCACCCCAAACACCAGAAAATCGCACGGGGCACGGGCTGAACACATCTTCGAAAGGGAAGCCCAACATGTTATGTCGAGAAAATGAGCTTTTTCTACCGAAAACCGTAG